TTCCTGTCCTCACTCATTTTTCAGTCCAGACTGTTGTAAAATAGTGGACTTCAGAGATACATGATGCATTCCAGGTAGGTGTCAACACTTGCTTGCACAGAGGTATACACTGCTGCATTCCTGTGCCCTTGTCTGAGGACCCCAGTCTGCCTCTGCAGTGCCTGGGGAACTCCTGTTGAGTTTTGGACAAAGCATTACACCCCAGAATACAGCTGAGCGTGCAGCTGCATTCCGTGTCCCCATTAATACAGTAATGTATTTGTCTGCATTAAACCTGCTTGGTTTGAGTAATTCCATTTTATTCAGAATACCTTGGGTCACTCAGTGGCTCATATGCTTCATCTTTATTTGCAATCCTGTTGAATCAATGTTCAGTTTCCTACATGACAGCAGTGATTTTCCATTTACTTTAAAAATATTACATGGGATCAATACAAAATACAGTCCCTGGAGAATATGATTAGGAATATATTCTTTTCTGGATATTCTCCACTGGCAGTGGGGTTTTGAGGTGCCAGTTACCAAGGTCTTACTTCTGCTTTTTAGATGGAAAGAAACAGAATATTAATTGCATAATTCTGCCTTTTCATCACATTTCTTAAGAATTTTACTACCTATGCTTACTTGTGGGATTGCATCATTGAAAGGGTTCCTTTTGTCCTCGGTAGAAATAAAACTCTATTATAAAGTAGCCTTTTATTTCCTCATTTAAAAAGGATTGTTAATTCTACCATCCATGGATTTTTCTTGATATCTTTCTTTTCTCATTTTTCCGTACTTCAAAGTTCCTGATGTGTCTGTTGTCTGTTGTCTGTTTTTCTGTATGTATTTATTTATTTATTTATATTTGCTGCCTTTATTGAAGCACAGACCCAGGACCTATTTTTCGTCAATGTTCTTTTTCTTGGTCACATAACTGTGCTTTTTGGATTATCTATTTAAAACGTTCGTTTCTAGAACCTCCAGATTTCATTCTTTTTTCTTTCAGTGTTTTTGGTCACAGTCACTTTTGCTGATGCTCTGCTTCAGCTTTGGAAGGTTAGCTCTTTGCAGACTGTCATATTACTTCACTTTTTTCTGCATCATGGGTTGGGACCATCCCCTCTTCACACCGAGTGTGTCAGGGCTGTGTTCAGACAATGATGTCATCTTACACGGCACAGAGATGTCCCAACAAAACAGGGTCTGCATAAGAAGACTTTGAGGTGTCAGGCTGTTCCAGTGGCCCCAGAGCAGTCTCTAGTCTGTTCCTGTTCAGCTCATTTTTGTGGTTTGTCTGGATTTATCTCCCACCCCTAGGTCTCAGAAATCTGCCAAGGTCAGTGGCAGAATTCCCCGTTGTGGGCAGAAGTCCTCTTTTGCCCACAGGCACCCATGTGGCACCTGTTGGCTGCACCCGGTGCTTTCTGTAAAGGAGCAGTGAGACACTGAATATATCCAGTCCGTTGCTTTTGGAGCAGTGGACGTATCCTGTTACAGGCTTACTACCAAAGTCTAGAGTGAGAGATTTCACTCCAGCCAGATCCTGCCCCTGGCAGCAAGTTTAGCCTTTCGCTCAGATTAATTATTCCCTGCCCTAGTTTCTTCCCCTCTCTTCTCATGGAGAGAGGCCACGGCGTGGCTCCTCCCCTCCCGGAGTCCACATACTTCAAATATTTGCAGCTGGTTTGTTTTGTCCTGAGTCACTGCTTGACTCTGCTGAGCTGTGAGCCTGGGGTTGGGCTCGCCTCAGGGGTGGGTGCAGCTTTGCTCCAAGATTCCCGCTTACAGAGGGGGTACGAGGAATTGTCCTCTGCACCGATGGGCAGCGTGTCCCTCCTCGGATTGTGTTAGCAGCCTGGGTGCCCTGCCAGGCTGCCTGTGCTGTGAGGGATGCTGGCAGGTGAGCCCCAACAAGGAAGAGTTGGGGGGGCAATGCAGCCCTTTGGGTGAGCCCCCAAGCCTAGGCGTGATGGGCACACATCTCATTTGGTGTGGTCTTCATGGGTCAACTGATTCCAGAGGAGGGCAGGGAGCAAACTTCAAATGGCGTGCATGCTTCCGCTGGGAGGCTGGGTAATAAGAATTAGAAGTTTTCATTAATTGGAAGAAAGTCAGTGAAAGTGGTGTTTCTGAGATGAGCAGGATGAGGTGTGACTGCAATATTAAATCATGGCCTCCACAGGAAGGGCAGAGGTGGGAGTGTGCTCCATCTTGACACTTTGCTGCCAGGGGCTGGGTTGTGAGTTGAAGTTAAGTCCCCTGTGTGTCAGCAGGCGAACGAGTAAAGCTCAAAAGCAGGTGCTCCTGGGAGGCCGTCGCAGAGCATCAAGCCAATCTTGAGAGCCAAGGACTTGTCACAAATACACAACAGGGGACAGAGAAAATAATGTTAGAGGTTTTAATTTAGAGAGGCAGATTGCAGAGCTCATGCAATCTATGCGATAACAAATTTTGAGTCTGAAAATTGTGACTGAGAAGACTGGCTTTGGAAATGTATTTCTGACTGCCTGTTAGGAATCCGTGTCATGGGTAAACACAAATTTGTCACTGGATTGGAATTTGGTGGCTTTATTAGAAATACCAGTCCCATTCTTCCAGGCCAATGGGAGTCCTTTCCAGCTGTGGTGCCTCCAG